AAGTTAAGCCAGCAAAGCATTCTCACCATTTAGAAGTGGTTTATCAACACCGTCTTACACTGTAGGAATGAAACACTTAAGGAAATTTCCCATTTACTAAATTCACTTTACACAGCTTTAGCATTCATGTCACCAAAGTTTTGAAGTGTAGCTATTGGTATTGCACTACATTCTTAGTCTCATTTGTGACCAATTCCTCTAGGAATGAAGGCCCAGAGTTTTGCATTATCCCAAAAGCTTAAGCGAGGACATTTTATTTAGACTTAAAGAGTCTTTGTGAGAACTTCTGTACATTATGCCACCTACACGTGCCAGTTTTTAATTCGTTTGTATTTAGACTGGATACTGTAAACACAGAAAATCCACACACTAATGACACATTTTGAGAGTTACTTTTAAACACGTGATAGAGATTGGACTATATAAAGCTGAAAAAAATGCATTGTAATTTGAGGTCAAACTGTGCTGTTGCTATTAACTTTGTGACCTTCGAAGAAGAGCAAAAACTAACAAAAAATAGGATTACTGTCTTTTCTTAGCTAAAGTAAAAAGGCAGGAACTCAGATTTTTAGCTCTTCTTACACTGCAACTGTGTTTGGATTAAACTGCAGTTACTCACTCTGTTAGACATTTCCGAGTTAAATTATTAGCAGCTCATTCACAATCATTTCATGTATTACTCTGGTTTACTTTGAGGAGGAGCATTGTAAGGTGCAGGAAATAGTCACCTAGTTCAGACTTACCATCACAATTTCTTACATGTCTGTCTCCAGTCCTGCCTATATTAAAGTGAGTAGAAAAAACAGACATTAATACTAAATTCAAGCTATCAAAATTTTGTTTACACTTAAGACAAAAAATCCCACACCTTTGACAGTTTTACGAACAGAACTCAAATAACAACAAAAAGACATTGCTGATTAAGGGTGAAAATAATAAATAGGAATCTCTACTTCCAACATGATAAAAAGTTAGTTACTTGTAAGAGAAAACATTTTCTTCTATCAGTTGTTCACTTACTGAGAAGTAACCTGAGAAGGAACAAAAGAGGCTAAAAAAGTGGTATCAGGTATTTAAAATGCAGCAGCCTTTAAGAAGTTTTGAAAAAAAGCACATGACCAGAACCTTGCCGAGCATCTGATTCTGCTTATTGTTGTCTAAGCTGGAATACATTCTGGAACTAATATATCAAGGATGAGTAAGAATTAAGGTGTGAAATGGGAGCAGAACTAAAACACTAGTGCCATCGCTAGCATCCCAGAAATTCCAATACCTCTCATATTCAGTACCTTCTCACTCCAAAATAAGCCACAAGCACACTGCTGATTTGGGAAATCATTATGTCCAAGGCCAACTTCATGATGTTTGATTTAGAGAGATTGTATTAGCTATGTTACTCATTAACAGATGTGTAAACTACAGGCTGTTACCTTAACACATGCATTTCCAGTCAGTTAATTTATTCAATTCCATTCAACTGCCATAGGATTTATTTTTAGAGTGAGCTTGGTTTTGCTCAACAATTCTTATAAAACAATTCAATTCTTATAAAAGGTTCAGAACTGATGTTTAGCCTCTTCCTGGATTCAGTTATCCAAATGTAAATCTTGAACTGTACAAAAAACATGAGGATGTGCCAAATGGTCCGAAATGCACATTATTGACTGTTAAGCAGTTGCTATCCAGGGTTCACATAGTTCAACAGAAGTGCAACATGAAAAGCCATTTAAGCTAATAAAGGCAAAACTAGGAGTTCTGCCACTGCAATAGGATTTCTCATGGCCAGATGGAAAATATTTATGAAAGATGAAAATAGCAGGAGAGGAAGAAGCCAACTTAAAAACAATACTGAGTTTTTACACGACTCGGACTAAAAGAAAGCTCACTGAGCAAATACTCAGAACATTGACATTTTTGGAAATTTTGTTCTTCATGACAAGATTGCTTATGAAAATACTCATTCTGAGAATGTTTTGTCTGTCACTGTTTCCTTCATTATGTCCACAGCAAAGAAAGGGATATTTTACATGCAGGATTTTATACATAAATATATTTTTATTTGTAATTAAGCCATTCTCAATAAAGGTTTAAAGTAGTAGATAACTGTAGCATAATGTAGCATTTGCATTTATTAACTGGTTTACTATGCAAAAATGTTGAAAGATCTTTACAGAAAGTGTTATAAACTTAAGTGACACAGCTGAACCTAACTTGGAATTCTTTACAGTTTAAATATTTATTTCAGCTATAAATTCATAGTTGTTAGCCTATAAATTGTATTCCTAATGCTCTTCCTAAACACCTACAACATCACTGCAACTAAACAAAACAAAATTTCACGTATGCTGTAACTCCAAGTAGCCTTTGTTACCTATGTACGACAGTTTTTCTGTATATTCCACCACCACTGAGTAACCACAGCAGAGAGCAGCAGGAAGGGGTTTTCAGGTCCCATTTTGAGCTGGTTCCTCATCCTGTCTCTGTGGCTTTCTGTTTGCAATGAAACCCATGCAATTGCACCAGCCTAGTCAAGCTGTTTAGCCAATGTTTGTATTTCTGCCTCACAAGGTAGCACTGACCTGGAGATGTTAAAAGCATCTGTCTCCAGCACTGCTTCTGGATCTGAAAAAGCCTTTCAAAGGCAGTGTTTGCCATTGTCATTGTAATGTGTAGGGTAAAGGAAAATAAAAAGACCAAAGCAGTCTTGCTTTATATATCGAAGCCTTCAGTGGCTGGTAATTACAAAGAAGGAAAAAACAAAAACAAAACACGAACATCTCCCTTCCCCATTCACCTTAAATTAAGGTATCTGAGTGCAGAGAAAGAACTGGGAATCTGAAGTAGGTAAACACACACTATGCAATAAATTAAGAAGCTTAGTTAAACATATTTTTGTCTCTGAAGTCATACTTTCCTTCAAACTGTACACAGTCTATACACAGCACTGGAATAAACCACCATAATTTTGTATCCATGTATTGTTCACTTGTTTCCAATCTTCAGCTGTACTTTACTAGAAATACAGTGTCAACGACAAAAAAAAGAAAAAGAACAAAAACTCAAGAAGCCATTTTAAATTGTTTTACTTAACACAGTTTTGAATTCTGTTATTTAAAGGTGGTTACAAGAAATCAAAACAACAACATTAAAACAGCAACTTGTGATCCACAATAAATCTTTCATCCAGTAATACCTTTTAATTTTTGTTGAAATGATGTCTCCTAGAATTTATTCTCTGATTATATTGGGTATAAATTCAGGCTGGACCGCATCACTGAGCTCATCTGCATACATTTCATATCTACCTGTCATCTGGAAAAGAAAATCATAGCTTAAATTCTGTTTTTGAGCTCTGAAAGCACCTCATCAGAAAATACTTGTGTCCACGCTTTTTTGGTTTGCCCAAACAGCGAAATCATAATTCACTGAATATGTAAGATTCCCAGTGCCATAGCATGAACTATTTTACTTTCACTCAACTCGTGTTGCCTAAAGCTATACTTTTACCCCCAAAGCAGCAGAAGTGCATTTCTACTCTAAAAAGTGAAAGTTTTAAATTACCACCTTTCTGTCCAGCAGTTCTCCTTCGTGAGCAGACTCATATTTGACATTTAATAATTACTTAAAACTATTTTGATTATCCTAGATAGTTAAAAGCTGAATGTGAAAGCTGGATTTTTTTTCTTGTGTATCAGCAAAAATCTCTTTTAAATCAGTTATGCCAGTGAAAGCAAATGACTTTTACCTCTAACTAAGCCTTCAAATTATTATTATGCAACAGATTTGCATTGGTGTCATTGAGGGTATTTGGGCTGAAGCCACTTAATCCATTAATAGTACAAAATATTATTATTGCTCTGTGGTGTTACAAGAAGCTAATAAGCTGAATTATAGCTTTCTTCTTGCTAAAGGCATAGTCTGCAATGTTGACTCCGTAAGGGATGAACTGCTTCCTTCTTACCTGAGTATACTTTAAAATGCAATGAGCACAATTTAACTCTGCTGCTGCTGCTAAAATTAGTGAGAACATTCTTCTAACTTCCTCTTTAGGTGCCACTGGATGCAAATAGCAAATACTGGAGCTGGTTAAATAGGTGACTACTTGCTATCAAGGTTTTTCTCCATAGGGTAAATTAGACTTCATGCTTCCTCACTACGCTGATTTCAACAACTACCTTTGTCTGGGCCACAAAGGAGAAGAAAAGGAAATAAATATTTCCTGTTGTATAAACAAAAGCCATAGTCATTGTCCAAACAAAACTGTAATGTGCTGAAAGCACAAGACTCAAAGACAACAAAAATAAACAGAATTTTATACAAAACAGCTAACAGTCAGCTTTGCTTGCACTGTTTGTTTTTCCTACACAGTACAATTGCTTTTGTTTGAATGCCCCTACTAAGCTGCTACAGGCAATGCTCCATCTGCTTCCTGACGCATTACCCACCTCTACACTCTACAAAAAGGACCTCAGGTTTCAGCAGTAAGGCAGAATTAAATGACAGCCTGTCTTAAAAAGAGAAAGGATCTTGGCAGAATTTAAGTACACTACCTTAAAAGCCTTATACTTACACAAGCCCAAATATGTCTTTTTTTTTTTTTTTGTCCTTAGTCACCAGGTATTGTTTAGCAGCATTAACAAAGAAATTCAACTTTAACTAAGAAATGACCATGTTCTAGTCTAGTTTTCACTCAGCATTTCAAACTCTCATAAAGCTTGCATTTTTGTATCAAATTGAAATCAGAACACTGATTAAACATTGCTCAGTAATATAATGCACAAAGTGGTTCCAGACAAAATAGCTCTATAAAAGAAGTGTCTCTGTCTGCAGTAACATTATATACAAAATAATCAGTCATTCTTAACGTGTCTTATTTCAAATATTAGTGATATCACTGAAGAACATACACATACTGTGTTAGTTGCTACCCAGGAGCTTTAGTCTTTTAAATTTTTTGTTAGGATTCAATGTTGTATTAGCACAATGTTTGCAGGGCCTACTGAAAACTTGACCAGACTGAAATAAGAAAATAGCTTGAGATTTTTTAAATCTGCATCTTCACTAAACCATTATATAACATAGCCCTGAGATAACTGCCTCAGCACAACCAAAGGGTTAACAAACTGCACTGCTGAAGCGGCAACTTCCAAAAGCTGCTGCTGAACAAACTGTATCAAATTACACCCTCAGGAAAGATGATCCAAATTAGTTTTGGCTGAGAATTACGAAAAAAAAATTGCTAAAGCCTTTTGGAGAGGTTTGCAGTCACTTAAATCTGGTTTAAGATGAATATAGATGGTTCTTTTCTGTGTGGCTTCAACAAGCCATCAAATTCAGGAAGCTGACTGCAAGAAGTTTACATTCAGAAAGCTCCTATAAGCAAAAAAAATAGATTCTTGGGGTTTGATTTTTTTTAATACATTCCACAAAAAATGAACAATATTATCAGTGTTAGATTAGTAGGTTAGACCTAGTCACTCAGAACTCAGCAGTAAATGGTGTAGAAACACAATATAAGAATCACACACAAAATAACACTTCCCTTACTGATCCTTCAAGTTTCTGGCAATCAACACTTAGGGACCAAAGGTTGGCCCTTCATTTAAAAGTCACTGTCCTAGATTCAATGAATGTGCCTATCCATTCATGTCTTTAACGTCCATAAAATCCTGTTCATTTCGCAATTTACGTTTCATTTGCTAAGCAAAGGCTTCCTTGTAGCTGTTGCAGCATCATATGATTATGAAAACTGTTTGATTTAGTATCATATGTAAGTTGGTCTTTAAAAAAGGGCTGTTTCTTTATAGTCAGGCTTACCTTAAAATTCCATTTGTCACCAATTTGCCTGCAAAGATTTAAATCCATCTCTACCACCAGAAGTCCATCCTGAGTGCGTGACAGTCCTGGGGTTCTACTGCCATCTGGTGCAGCCACATAACTCGAGCCATAAAAATGCCCCAAGTCATGGTGCGCTTAACAAAATTTTTAAAAAGCATATAATACCATCTGTTAATATATGCACAACTTAACATGCATTTTCCTCCTTGTCGGTCAACCCACAAACCGGGAGCCATAAAAATGCCCCAAGTCATGGTGCGCTTAACAAAATTTTTAAAAAGCATATAATACCATCTGTTAATATATGCACAACTTAACATGCATTTTCCTGTAAAATGTGGTTCACAACATCATTGGGTAGTTCAATCCCTGTACTTTAAGCAAGTCTCTAACCTAAAGGGTCATATTATGACCCTAGGGTAGCTGTAGTTTTAAACTATTTGTTAACTTTCATTCAGCTTTCACAAATAGTAATTTTTAAATGACAGTATTAGCTTTTAACTTATGTATTATTTTGCTTTCTCATTACTAAGTCTGTATGTAAGTAAAGGCTTTGCTTCCATTTTTATTAGAATTTAAATGAATGCTAGATGTCATGCTTTTCCAAAGTGGCTGAAAGATACACACATTCAATGTTCAATGCAAGATCAGAGCTAAAAACACTAGGATCTGAAGCAGGTAAAAGTCTTACTTAAAATTACACAATGCACAACAGCAGTCCCAACTACCCTAGCATTGGCTAGGATAGCTGCCTTGGCCCAGGCACAGGGAGCAGAGCTAACATTTTTTCGGGACTTCCCAGTCAACAATTATTAGCAATGTGCTTTCTGAACATACCTTTTCTACCATCTCCAGAAGTAAAGGCATTTTTGTAGTATTCCTGCAAAATAAAATGAATATGTAGGTGGCAGTATAATTCCATTTCATTCAATAAATCCTTACTGGTCTATCAGATTAAGCATAGCATTTTGCATAGATCTATGAAAACTTTTCTGGCTACTATCTGCCCTGTCTAAAGAAGGGAGTCATTGGAGGGGGTCTAGCTTCTAGATTCACATTATAGACCTGTTAGGCTCTTATGATGGACTAGGTTGGAAAACAGCATTTTTTTTTTGTACAACTGCCTGTGATTCATTCCTAACAGTTGTGTGCAGGTGAGAAAAGGGCAGAAGAATCCCAAATCTGGATTTGGAAGAGAATTTTCTTTTTCCTTATAGAAGAAAATGCATTTAGGGTTTTCAGGCTAAATTGTGGGCAACATTCACTTTGATTATAGGATTTAGGCAGCCAGAAAGAGGCAATACCTGGGTAACAGCAGCCACATCTGCACCACAGGCTTGAGGATATGGTTCACTTTCATTCTGGCTAAGGGAACACTACTTTAACCATAGAAACTAGGAAAATTAGCAAAAAGAGTGGGTGCCTATTACAGAGAGAGCAATTCAGGAACAGGAAGCAGCTGCCAGCAACAAGGCAGCTCTCAATCCCCTTGCTAGCACCAGTGCATCACTGTCCATCTTTAAAGCACATCATAAGCACTAAAAGACAGAGGCCTTCCACAGGAATCTGTGTATCCTAGTGCTATTTAATTCATGAATCAGAATTAACACATGCTTCAATACAAATTTATGAAATGAAATGACAAAGTGAAGATACTTACTGTTCCTACTCTGTTGATGGGACATGTAAAGCAGTGATTAGCTATGGCAGCATTTCTTGCTTCAATTGGCCACATTGACTCACTGCAATAGAGGAACAGGAGAAGGCCGATTTTATTTGTCTACTCCAGAGCAGTCTTCTGCATTTGGATTATTTATCAGTGTGGGACACGGTACATTTTCTATCGAATCAAAGTTATTTACGGAAATGGACCTTGCTGTTACGGTTTAAAGCTCCTCACACACACAGCCAAAATACAAGTATTTTCTGCTCAAAGACAGGTATGAACAATTTTATGCAATACCTAAAGATTTAAGAAATAAGGATTTTTCCTGGCAAAAAGAAAAAAACAGCTCTCAAGATTTTCAAAGCAATTACAATTAATATAAAAACTTTTACTCTACGAAACGATGCAAAGAATTTACACGCGTGCTTTCAGATTTCATTCATTTTCAATGATCCAAATAATACAAAAGGATCAGAGTAGTTAATGGAAGTTCTCAGAGTCCCAAAGTGAAGATGAAAAAAATTTTATGTCTTGTGACAATACGCACCAGCCAGATTCTAAGTACTAAGAAAGTTAGGCAAGTGTCTAAGACAGTTATGGCAAGTGCCATTAATTTCCCAACCAGACTCAAGAATCTTAAGGGATGGCCACATTTCATTGAAAGAACTTGGTTTACTGTCTTTTTTTCTCAATTGCTCCAAGTCTGGCTGCCAGCTATTCTAAGAAAAAGGGATTTTATTAAAAAGCTCCTGCAAATTACTATTTCACGGAAGAAGAGAGACAGGAAGAAAAAGCTATAGCCAATAAGTTACCCTAGAGACAGTTTTCTATACAAGCTTCAAGAGTCCTCTTCCTGTAGTAAAAATTATACACTTAAAAACAATCAAATGAAAGGCAGTATTTAGGAGAGTGAAACACCCAGAGTAGAATGAAGTTCTACATGAAGACAGAATAATTTCTGTTTGCTCTCTTTTTAATGGGCTCTAAGCAGACAAACATCACAAGCATTATTCTAGTACTGATATTCATAAAATGAACCCAAATTGTGTATTCATTCAATTCTCTTCGAAGGATATTTTCCAACATTACACAACCTAAGTAAGACACTTTAATATTGAAAAATAAAGGCAGTCTGAACGGCAGAATATTTCATCTAATCTACAGTTCTGCTCCCCAGACTCACAAATACCCAGTTCTCTGAACTAGACTGCTTGTGGATATGAAATTCATATGCCTCTGTAATCTGTTTTTCACAATTTCCACGCTACCGTGAATTGTCTGTGTTCAAAAATTTTTCTAGCTGGTAAGCAACAAAAATTGCTATGAATATTCTCAAACTTTCTTACAGAGCTATAAAAACTCCAAAATTGCATTAAATAGGTGAAGAGAGGGAGCTGGGGGAATCCTAAAGAAAATATTAAAAGGCTTCTCCTCTTTACAATTTACCACTCCTTTATCCTCCTGCATTCTTGGGCAGCAAATCTGCATTGCTGAATACTTTATACTTTTAGATTTACACAATTTACACTGGAAAAATGTCTTCTATATTTAAAGAAATTAAACATTTTTTTTTCTTGCAATTAGTGTGTGCACACATGTCCAGCCAAACACAGAGACAGGAGGCATGAGAAAGAACTTCAAGTATTTTGGGAAGAGATCAGTACACTTTTTTTTTTTTTGCTTGCAGTTGAAAACTATTTGAATTAAAAAAAAACAACAAAATATGCTCCTGTTCAGTTCCTAAAAAATCAACTCCGATGCTGTAAACTCAAAAACACTTCAGCTAGCCCCAACTGATGACTTGAACTCAGAAAGGAAAGGCCTTTGTTCCAAAGAACTCCATACAAAGCTAACTACCTCTAGTGAAAAGGGTAGTTTAAAATAGTAACACCTAAAATCCTGAATAAACTATCATCACCTCCTCAGTCACATACATATAAACATCTTATATGGTTAAATTGCTTTCCAGAGCCTACCCTCACTATCTGGGGAGGAAGCACAATTATTGCATCATGTATTAAGCTTATGGCTGACACATTCAGGAATCCTGCACCTCAACTTGAAAATAGTCCAATCTGTAACTTCAGGAGTAAGGCAAAGAGCAAAAAACAATGAGACTAACAGGAAGCCATGGTCATTTTGGCAAGAAGAGTCAAGGTTTCTGCATAAAGGAAAGTTTTTAAAAATTATTTCACATCACATTGCATCCCAAGCAATACACAGCCTGCGTCGGGCACAGTGCTTTGGAAGCATGTCATGCTTAAAGGTTATTATAATGAAATGCGACCCATGTTGATACTGTAAAAACACAGAATACTCAAGATCTAATCCACACATTAATCATTATGGGCTAAGAACTCTATCTTCTTAGTTCAGAGAGTGAGTTTTCTTTAGGAAATCAAGTCAGTAGGGTGCAATTAGTGACAATCTGTAGAAGATTAATCTCAAGGGAAAGTTTACACTGGTGTAGTCTGGTTCAAGGGGCCTGAGAATCGTAAAATGATCAGCAGTAATATAAAAAAAAAATTCTGAGAAAAGGATTTGTCAGCTTGGCTCTGAAGACTGCAATTTAATAGTGCATTTACGGGCTCCTAGGTAGAGGATGGATCTGGCAAGCTAACCTAAATGTAAATTAGTGCCATCTATCATAAAACAAAAATACTACACACACAGGAGAGGGGGAAAAAAAAACACATTTAAAAAAAAAAACACTACACACACTAAAAACCAGCCATTAGCTTCTCTGTTTCAACAGGACGACCTGCAGATATACAAATAAAGCTCTGGAAAAGACCTAGTGACTGGGAGCAGACTGATGCCAATACTCAAGATGAAGAATGCAAATTCCTTTGTAAGGAAAACGGAGGTGATACCTGAGGTTCTAAGACCTCAGCACAGTACACCTTGGAGCCAAAGCAAGAGGCTCAGAGGTTCAGTTAAGTCAGTATGCAACAGCCTGAAGCAGCCTGAATATTTACCTGAGTGATCCGATAGTGGCTGAAGGGTTAAAGATGATCTCTGCCCCATTGATGCTGTACATGAGCCAATTCAGAGGGTGATGGCGCCCATAGCAGATATTCACAGCAATTGTTCCAAACTGTGTCTGAAACACTGGGTGTCCAGTATTTCCTTCCATGTAGTAGGTAGACTAGAAAAAAAGCAAATTTCTTAAAAAGAAAAAACTCTGAGTTTTTGACTCCAAGTTGTTCTGACACTTTACAATGCCTGATTACCATCTTCAAAAGTCAAAAGCCTGTGAGCAATTATTTTAGCCCTTATTTTAGTACACAGATGCAAGAGAATAGTGATTTAATAGAAAATGGCTCTCTGAAGTTGATAAGATCAAATTCCAGTTTATTTCTGCCTCCCTTTACTCATACTAAACTTAACACTGCCTTTGACATGCACTCGTCCAGTAACGCTGGAAGCTTCTGCAGAAGCTTCAGAGACTCACAAGCTGCCGAAGTGCAGGCACCTCTCTTAATAAGATCAAGGATTGTGACTTCTCTGGAGAATTTACATATGTAGTAAAAGTACTATGTAGAGAGAATATGAACCCTGTAAAATTAACATGTAATTCCTTTACATTCAACTGTTAATACCAATATACAATAATTTTATGAACATTATAGGTGACGTCAGTATATAGCTAAGATGGATTATTTGAATTTCAATATGACTATTGCTCTAAACTAACAGAAGGCCTCAAAGAACAGGGAAAAATCACAGGACAAATCTAGATAGCACTCCTTAAAGAACCTGGAACAACTGCTTCCTTCAAAGATCTCATTTCCCATATGCTGCCAGTTTTATCTTATCAAATCAAACATTTCTAAACAGTTAAAGATGCACTGGTTCCTGTAAAAGACTATGGTGAAGAGAAGCAGAAGACACAACTATCGAGAGGGACAAACATCCTGATAGAGGACTAAATGAAATCTACAGAATGGGTCTACCCAGGTAGAAGAAAAGAGTAAGGGTAGGGGTGGAGTCATTCAGTTCCTGGAAATCACTGATTTAACCTACAGTGATAAAAAACAAACGAACCAGACAACCCACACACCACAGACATGAAAAGAAAGAGTACTAAGAATATATATATAAAAAAAATAGCAAACAAAAAATAACCCACATCATTTTACTGGTACTTAAAAATTCTCTATGCCCATAACTTGAGTTCTCTCTAATTTTAGTGCCTGAATCTCAAGGATACATTAGGGATAGAACGACCAAAGGCCACTAAAATGATTAAGGGGATGGAGTAGCTGCCCCATGAGGGGAGACTAAAAGGCCCAGTGTCTTTAATCTGCTGACAGAAGGCTGATTTGTACAAATGAAATGCACAAGTAACAAAAGCAGTAGATAACACAAATGCAGAAATCCTAAAAAAGCAGCAGATATCTCTGAAATTAGTAGTCTTGTCTGTCTAAACCAAAGTTTTTTTGTTTGTTTTTAAACATAGCATAGAGAGCTCTTCTGGAATTTGCTCCTACAAGAGCAAATCTGTGCAGGCAAATTTTATCAGCAAGTTCAGAAGGGACTGGACAAAATCACAGGCAAAAGGTCCACAAACGGATAAGAAACAAAATAGCCAGGAATGTACTATCTAACATTCCTAATATGACCACCATGGATACTGAGGGAATGCAAATGCCGCAAACAGTGGCCAGACTCATTCCTTGGAGTATATCCTTGTAATGATCTCAGAGGCAGAAGGTAGACAACCCACTGGTCTGACCCAATGAGGCATCTCTCTCACCATATGAATGGCATGTTGTAAAATAATTAACTTTTTCCCCTGAAACTGTCTGTCCACTGTATCAGCAACTGCTATTAGTCTTGAAGGAAACAGAAACCCAGTGTCAAGCCTACAGTAAGCACAGTAAATGCTGAGAAAGTATCCAGAAATCCAGAATCTCATCTAGAAGTCAGCGAACGGCACACTGGAAACAACTGATACAACTCTGAGGGGGAGCATGCCCAGAAATCAAGAAGGGCTAGAGGTTCTTTCTGCCTGGTACATGTGGTAATCTCAGGTTTGTTATCTGCCATCAGTTCTCGTGAAATTGCAGATTACCCTGGGCATAGATTTTTATCTTCTTTCATGTCTGTAGAGAACACTCCATGTAGCGAGTACTCACATAATCCTGTTTCAAAACAGTTCTGACTAAATATTTTTTCCATTTTTTTCTTCTATTCTCAGTTTTCTTTTATTACAATAGGGGAAGAAAAACAAGAATGTTAATTGCTTCAGGGAATTCATCAATTCTTATTCTTTATTCCTCAGAGGTCACAGTCATCTCCAAGCAACTAATTCTGATGTCTCAAGAAGGACTGATTTTTGTTTATTTATATGCCCTCCCGCACATGGCTGAAGAGGTTAGAGACCAGTCTCTTTCCCCTTCGCATTTTGCATTGATTCACCAAGGATGATTGTAACGAGGCTGCTTTTCCAACCTGTTCTACAGACACAATTTATACAGAATAAATTTCAACTTCCTGGGGGATAGGTTTGTTGATTAAAAAAAAAAAAATTACATAAGTATAATCCTTCCTTGGAGTCTTGTCTGCTTCTGAAGTTTCTCTACGAGCACAGGTCAGCCTTAATACAATTCCGAAAGTTCTTCCTACTTCTATTATCCTCAGGATAACAATTCATGAGCAGAATGGGCACAACGCTTTCCTAGCAGGACTAGTCAAAAAGTCAGCACTGTTTGGGTAAATACTACTCACCTGGTATAATAAAAGAGATACAAGAACTGTCAACTCATTATAATGTCCTGGCAATATTTTAATAGATTGTGTCCTGTGATAATTCTGGAACTAACTCATTTTAATAATTATATAAAACCTCCAAAATAACTATAGTAATACTTCACATGGAAAAGTAAACATATTTTTATAAGCAATTATTAAATAGTTTATAATTTAATTCTTTAAGTGTCTTTCATCACAATTCCATAGTTAGATTATTCTTGGAATCTGTTGATGCTCCACAGACTACTGTCTGGAAAATGGAAAGACACTGTATTTTAGTAACAGATTTTTGTGTGTGTGTGGTTAACAAGAAAGGCATCAAGAATGTGCAAATAAAATCCTCAAATTTATTTGTATTTATACTTATATTTTATACAGCATTGTTTGTTCTTGTTTTGCTAGCCAGAAAATGGCTCAGACAAAATAATTTTTAAAAAATGTAATTATTAAAGATAGAAGTCAGGCTCATGCCTGTCAAGCCTGTGACAGAAGTTCACTCTGTAAAAAAATATTAACAGCCTCCTGAGAAGAAATATAAACCAGTGTAATCAGGTCTAAACTTCCAGAGATCGTAAAAAAAACAAGAAAACAAACAAACAACAAAAAAAACCCTCATCAAAAAAAAATCCCACAGTTGAGTTCTTCCCAGCTTAGTGTTTGAACATTTGGAAAGGGAACAGAAGGAATTGTGGGTATATGGTTACCAGTGCTTTGAAGAAATGCCTGTTAATTACCTACTTCAGCTGACAAGGAGAGATTAAGTTAGGCAAGACAATGTATTTTTAGACTTTAGTTAATTTTTAATCCTGATCTTTCTACATGTGGTAACTCTATGAATAGATAAACACATTTCAGACCAAGCAATTTCTTTCTCACATTGCTTTTACTACCATCAGTTTCTGAAGTTGATTCTAGAGCACAGTTTAAGAACAGCTGGGGCTTCAACAGAAGTGATTAGTAAACAGAATATGCTATGAACCAGTGATTCACTCACAAGTGTAGTGATTTAGGGATTCCACTTGAGAAACGTAAGCATAAGAACTGTAATTTCCATGACAATCCCATGGGCAAAAAGAGATCAAGACCATAAATATTACTCACACCTGAACCATGAACCACTTCCTCTCCAAATTAAATTAAGTCAAACAGGTGCAAAAATTCTCTGAGACCATCACACACAAGCAATATAACACAGCTGTGACAAAGAATTCGGTTATAAAAGTCCTCAATAGTTTTATAGTTTCTATCAGGCCAATAAGACTATATTCAGTGTCACTTTAAGGGTCACCATTCTCCATTCACAATAAACAAACTTGTTATATTACTATAATAATATAATTTTACCCGGGAAAAACTGTTATGATGCTTAGTGAACCACATTTTCCAAAAATACATTACATTTCCTTCCACTGTGGCTCTGATACAAGATGGGCAAGAACTGCAAAGCAAGATTAGCTTGATTATCATAACACGACATCTTACCTCATTGAAATCTCCAATTCGTGGAATGTGATTTTTCCTACTTTTGCCAAGGACAGCTCCAGAATTAGAGATGACGACTGCAGTATTCCAAAGAGTTCCTCCATGTATTTCATCTCGCTCCAGGATTGGAGATACCACAACCATATTGTATTTCTTTGCCAGCTATACAAATTAATATAATTTTTCTATTACACATACAATTCTAGGGTAATTAATTATTTCACCTTATGTTCATACAGAAGCATTAAAAATGTTTTCATTTTGTGCATTATTTTGACTATTATAAAGTGCTAATGCTTAATCACACTGGAACCACCTGTGCTGCCACTTTCTCCAAAGATGGATGTATCACTGAGAGCCTTCCACCTAAATCAGTCAATCAGAAATGCAAGGTACCAATTAGAAAAAAAACCCAAAAACCTAACAGCAGTATTAAATCTACAGGGCTGACACCTATCTTTGTAACAGGACGTGACACTGCTTTCATTCTGGTATCCCACTTATATGAATTTGTTTAGCACCTCAGCTTGCTGAAAAAAAATACTCAAAATTATGGGAAATTTTAAAATACTATAATGTATTAACTATAAATGTTAACAAATATAGGTGTGAGAAATATAGCACTATCTGGCTGCTAGTTTATTAGTACATTGCTGTCTTTCACACCTCTTTTTTTTTTAATATTTCTCTGAGCTTCCATAACATCAGTAATCCCACAGTGAGAATCAATCTATACTTGCCCTAGATCAGACTGAAGATAAACACAGGACGTTAAATAGGCCAGGTCATATCTGAACAAATTTAACTCCATAACAACCTTTTGTGAATACTGTAGTAGAGAAATCATAAAAACTCCTTATTACAGAATTAGTTGTCAGAATACAAAAACATACTGTCACTTCTGCAGTCAGCAGTCTCTGGAAGAAAAACAGCCAGTCACATCTCCATAGCTGCATAAAAAAGCTCCCAACATTTTTTTTATCATTTCACAGAGAGATGTAGAAGATTTCTGTGAAAGCATTTCTTTTCCAGAAAGGGCTAGCTATTCCTCTCAGGACCATGCTCATCTGTTCTATCCAAGAAACGCCTTTTCAACAGAAGTTAAAGATATCTGGCTAGAAAATTGCTTCTCACTGTAAAACTCTGGAATAGTTAAATGCAGAAATCTTCCAGGCTAGAAGTCAGTCTATAAATGCAAAGTAATTTAAAGAATATTGAGCATAGGTAGTGTTGATCAGTTCTGTTTCACTCGCTTCCTTAGTATTTGCCAAACAAGTTGAAAAGTTATTTTTATTATTTCTATTTTATCAGTACTAGAAAACTGGCATATAAAGAAGTTCTTGCTCATCTGTGGCAATTACTGCTTCGGGGATGGCAGGGAGGTGAGTTTGGCACATTTTGTTTTATTTGTTTACCTCTTGGCAGAATTTTGTTGTTGGCCCATCCTCTGCTGACTCTGCAAATTCAGTCCAAGGAAGCTTCTCTCTTGTACAAAATGCAAAGGGCATGGCTAGAAAACATCAGTGCAAGGCACACTTTACAAGAGCATCCTGTCACTCAAAAGACCCACAGGTAGTTCTGTTTCCATGAGCACATAAATCATTAAACATTTCAGAACAACTGAAATGTTCTTGCTCAAAGTACAACTCTTTTTGTACTTATTTACCAATGATGAGGAATGTTGGGCCCATACATAGCCCACTTATTGTGCATTATATTAGTCCTAAAGGAGGTAAAGATCTAAAATACATCCTAGTCACTACTACACACTTTCTGCAAACAACCTATTTCACAATGGGGTCTTCATTTCAGTTTTGGCTTCTAATAAGCTTTGAGGACTCCATTTTAATTAAAATTTATTTTTATTTCTTAATATGTGTCTACATGAAAAAAGTTTTAAGAGAAAAAATAAGGAAAGGATCACAAAGGATGACACACAAAAAAGGAGTGTATATTAAGTTATTGCAACATATACCCCTTCTACAGACTTCACACAGATCTTGTACACAGTTCTACAAAGACTCTTTGTTTTTCTTTAAAAAAAATATAGTAACAGTCAACTGTTGTAACTTGGAAGACTTCTGTTGTTTGCCTACAAGCCATATTTCAAGTCCCTTAAAACAGAAAGAACCTGACCTCTGACAAGCTAGAAGGAATCTGAGAAAATACTCACTCCAAGCCTCCTGGAAACAAACTATGTTGACCCCACACATTGCTGCCACCTCCACAATCTCCTCGATTCGTTTGTGCAGCGCAGCCACCTGATTGTGAGATGTTTCGCACTATAAAAGAGCTGTATGTTCTAACATACTCACATATTAGTAGACTGGTTTTACAATCTTCATTCACATTAAATATTTTTATCTTGTTCTGTACTTAGTCCCAATGCTTTCCCATTACCTCAAGAAGTAATAATTTATGAGCACTGATATCAGAATTATGACCTAGAGAGTTAAATATAGGTTGTAAATAAATATAGGTGGTAAAAATAAAGCTGGAATTTTCAAATTCCACAGTTGCCACATTTAAATATCTAAGCCAGACACTGTAGATTATGGCCAATGATAGCTCTACATCTTCAAAGCAGCAGCAAAAAAAACTCTTTAGTTGCTTAATGGCAGCAACTGCCTAGCAATTAAGAAGTTTGACTGCCTAAGCCGTTAAGAAAAACTGAATTCAAAATAAAGTACTCAGAGTGTTACAGCATGAAGTAAGGATAGTCCATTTCCTCGGTTAACTTGGTTAAGAGCAGCAAATCCTGCTGACACATGTGAATCTTAGATACCTTCTAGAAGTTATTAACACCAAAGTGTTTTCTCAGTCCCTCGCCCTGAGATCTAAGTAGATTATTACCAAGAAAAACAAGATTTATTAATTAAAAAAATTTTGTTTCAAAGTATTTTTTTTCCTTTGAGCTACAGTTAAAAGTGAGCACAGATACAGCACTTTTTATTGATACTTTAATGTATTAATAGCAACAACAAAAATGGATGCAATACAAGTCTACAATAACTATACACTGAGTTTGTATATACTTACCAAAACAGTTATCTAGTAGAAGTCTGTCTTGTGAACAAAATTATTACTCCAGGAAATGTCATATATGTGGTAGCTTCTTTCATTTTTTAAGCAAAACTTTAAAAAGTCTATTTCTACATAAATGTGCTTTTTTTCCCCTAGATGTTAAGATGTGGCAGCCGCCTTGCAATATGATTTAGTTTACTGCTGTACAAAGAGTAATATAGCTTTATTAATCCATGTTTGTGCCAATGGATCCTCCTATAATGCAGGATTTTTCAATCAAACCAAGAAGGGCACCTATGTTTTCCATGGATTATAATCTGTGCTGTATTCAGGAAAATGAACGTTGCTTCATTTTTACAAGCAAAGACTTTTATTTACAAAATCAGTGATTAAATATTTAGCTATGGGCAAATTGCAAGTAGATTGGGTAAGTCACTCAATAAACACACCACAGACATTTCTGAGGAACAATAAACTTTCATGTGTCATTCTAACTTCTCACAGTAAAGGATGTAAAGAGAGCATTGGGCCCTATGTTGTTGCCATACAAACAGTATGCATTTCATGATGGAGATTAACACCAACAACTAAAGGGTGAGATTTCTCAATCCAATAAAAGAGTTACAAACAAATGGCCCACATAGCAGCTTTTCTACCTGGATTGCCACTGCTGTGTCAGTGGGAAGCGGAATTTTATTCTGTATCAGTCCCACTCGAGCAATGCGGGGCCTTCTCAACTGCTCCGGAGCAGCTTCAAATCCATAGCCCTGCAGCTCAAAATCTCTTTCCTGAGCTGCGGACACAGCAGCAGCTGGCAAACAAAGTTTTCTGCAATAAAAGACATTCCAAGCTGAGCCAGTCTCTTTTTTCATTTGGGGTGCAGTAGGCCCAAGGGGTAACAGCACCGTCCACCCCTGCAGCCCCATTGCGGCCTCAAGTTCCCATGCCCAGGCTGCGAGAGGGAAGGTGAAATCAGCTCATGGGCAACCTCGCAGCTCTCCTCCGCAACCGCAAACTCCCAGCCTTGACTTTGATCACTTAGATTTGCAGAGATTCGCACCTCACTAAGGAATCACGGAGCTCACACCTACAGGCTCCCACCTATAACTCCCAGGTTACACTTTCCCTCCAATCTAGAGCACGTTTATCTGCGTTTGCTCCCCACTTTGCCTACCCCAACCCCCCAAACCCCCCCCCAGCTCCTCCGCTCCAGCCAGCCGCTCCCTCACACCACTCCACTTCCCTCCACCTCAACGGAGGGC